GGGGGGGGGGGGAAGGTTAAAAGAATGTTCGTTTAGTTTAAGTGTTCAAACATGTTTTTTGGATAAGTTTAAGGGAGATTTTATGTATTTTGCCTTGTAAATATAATGACCAAATAATTATTGCGGCTAGCCATATTAACTTAATAAAAATGATAATTTGATTAGTAAAATAATTGAAGTAGTCATGAATGCCTTTATTTTGATAGTTGTAGGTGATGTGTTTGCCTTTAAATCACCCGACCCTCCCGAGCTTAAGGATGTACTCCTTCCATTCATTTTTACTTGTCATGCTTCGCTTTTCGAGAGTCAAACTATATAAACTTTGACCAACATGTTTAACATGTATTTTTTTTAACCATATTGATATGAGAAAAATTACAAATTATAGTATTTTTTGTATAATTTCTGAATATCAAAATTTTAATTTTAAAATAGTAAGAAAATCTAATGCAATTTCTCAAAAAATAGTCAAATTGATTCTTGAAAAGCGAAATATGATAAGTAAAAGTGAACAGAGGGAGTATAACGTATAATGTGATTCCTGCACAAACGCTTGTATTTGTAGTCAAATAATTCATTATTGCTTTGGAACTAACCAATAAAAAAGAAATCATTACTATTGATTTGGAAGCTTCATTCGGGGAGAAATTCAAAAATAGCCAGATTTACAAGTGGTCATTCAAAAATAGCTACAGTTTTAAAAGTAATCGAAATTTAGCCACTTTTCATGTAAAGATAAATTTGAACGAAAATACTGTTCAAAATTCATAAAAATATCCAGTATAATATACTAGAGTTCCAGTATACTTATGCTGGAACTCCAGTATAATATACTGGTTCAGTATAATATACTTGAACTTTTCGCGTGTTGGAGTTCCAACATAATATGCTGGAAGTTCATACACAGGTGCACCGATCTCCAGTATATTATGCTGGAACTTTCCGTGTTGCAGCAAAATAGTGACTATTTTTCAATGACTTTGCAAACACTGGCTATTTTTGAATGATCAGTTTGAAAACTGGCTAGTCCGTGCTATTTTTACCTTCATTTGGTGTAGGGCTGTCAAATTTGGCCCAAGCCCAATTGACCCGTCCAATGTTGGGCCGGTAATAGACTCGCTCATTTATTGAACTCAACCCGTCTTGACCCAACCCATCTCAATCCATTTAAAGTTGGGTTGATTTTTAGCCCAAATTAATTCATGAGTAACTTTGCCAAAATATCTTAGAATTTTTTTTTTTTTTGATATGTTATATATGACCATAACAAAAGAAAAAATATCTTATTTAGTAATTATAAAATTTATTAAAAAACAACAAATTTTAACTAAAGATTGATAAGAATTGGGTGAATTTAGTTGTGACCCAAATTTTAGTCCATCTTAGCCCAAGTAACTTTTGGGTGGGTCATTTGACCCGCCCACTTGTTAACTCAACCGTATTGACCCGTCTAAAATCGGTCCAACCTGCCCATTTGATATCCCTAATTTGGTGTTATAAAAAAAATTAAGCTGTTTCCTTTGGACATTTATTTTGATTCAGAGTGACATTAGCTAAGCTGTTTAAGAGCAAAAGGATTGAAGTCCATTGTTCCAATTTACCATTACGTTACTAGGTTTTAACAATACTATATGGTTTTCAAGGAGATGTTATTTCTCTAAATTGTAATTTTGGGTCTCAAGTTTTATACAACCATACTTTTGAGTTTGTAGAATTTTTTTTTTTGGCAATTAAAGAAATTTTATTAATTACTGAGTAGCTGTACAAAACGAGGGAAAAACAAACTAGTTCACGCCCCTCTCAAAACAACTGTATCCTATGCAACTAGAAGCCTTAAAAAAATCCAGATACCTATAGTGGACGTCAAAAACACCTATAGTGAACAAATAAACTCAAATAATTTCCTGTTGCCTCTAACTCTTATACACAGATAAGTCTTCAGGTCATGTAGTATTGCCTCCCTGCTTTTGGCCTTGTGTTGATACACCCGGTTATTCCTCTCAATCCATATTTCATATATAACAGCAGCAAAGCATGCCTTTAGCAGAACACCTAGTGCAGTTCTTCTTTTAGCTATCTCAGAAACCCATCGCCACTCCAATTCCCAGTTCAAGATGGTTCTTTGCCACTTCATCCAACTTAGCACATCCTGCCAGATTGATCTTGAGTAAGGACATTCAAAAAAGATATGTGAAGAGGTTTCTGGGCAGGAGTTACATAACATACATACACTATCCACACTAATGCCCCAACTCAGTAGGACATCTTTGGTTCTTAGTTTACCAAGCAATGCAAGCCATTGAATGAATACTTGTTTAGGAGCAGCAACATTGTGACAAGTCAAGTTCTTCCAAGGAATATTTATTATTGTACCTCTCAAAGTTTTATAAGCAGCTGTAATCTGAAACTTTCCCCTCTTGGTTAGCTGAGAACAAGTACTTAGTTTATGCCAATTCTTTCTCATATTCATTATTTTCCTAACCATCCATGAAGCCTGATTTGGCACCACCATAGTGAATAGATCCAGTTTCTTTATATAGTATGTATGTACCCATGTGATCCATAATTTCTCCTTGTGTTGTCTTAGAGCCCAGAACAACTTGCATATAGCAACCTGGTTCCATATCCTTAAGTTAAGAACATTTAGTCGTCCTGCTCCTTTAGGTAAACAGATTTTCTTCCATGCTACTAGGCTCTTCTAGAGATAGTGGCTTCACCTGTCCACAAGTAACTTCTACATGTAGCCTCAATCAGTTTAATCACTTTCCGAGGCAGAAGAAATAACTGTGACCAGTATGCTTTAACCCCAAATAAGACAGCTTTGATGAGTTGCAGCCTCCCTGCATATGACAAGCTTTTAGCCATCCAAAAAGTAATTCTAGATGTAATCTTATCCACCAATGCCCAGCACTGTATAGCTGTGAGTCTTTTAATTGACAGAGGAACTCCAAGATATTTGAATGGCAATTCAGTTGGTAGATGTCAGAAAGGGTGGAGGCATTATCAAGTAAGTTAGTTATAAGTGGTCGTGCTCTCGCTACCGGAAGCTTGGCAGTGATTTCCCCCATCTCATACCCAGCAAGTTCAGAATATTCATTCTTGTATCCTCATCTACCCCTCCAAAATAGACTTGACTTTTGTTGAGATTTGCTTTTAGCCCCGAAGCCTCAGAGAATAGGGCAAATCTATCCCTAAGCATCTGGACTGACTTGGTATCTCCCCTAGCAAACAGTAGCAAATCATCTGCAAAGCAAAGGTGCGTGATTCCCAACTTCTGGCATCTCGGGTGAAAATTAAACTCAGGCTCATCCTTCAATGTACCCAAGCACACCTGTTTAAATATTCCATAAGCAACACAAAAATGTAAGGCGACATAGGATCACCCTGTCTCAAACCCCTCCTTGCCTTCAATGTATCTGACAGACCCCCATTAATCAAGAAAGTGTAACTAACTGAGTTTATACATGTCATGATCCATAATACCATTTTTCCGGGAAAACCAAGTTCTTTAAGCATTTGTTCAATGAAGTACCATTCTACTGAATCATAAGCTTTCTGCAAGTCTACCTTGATCATACACCTTGGAGATATGTGTTTTCTAGTGTACCCTTTGACCAACTCATGACTTAAAATTATGTTATCTGATATAAGTCTTCCAGGTATGAAGGCAGACTGACTATGCCCTACTATTTCATCAATTACACCTTTGATTCTTCCTGAGATGATTTTGGATATAATTTTATAAAGAGTAGAATAGCATGCTATAGGTCTAAAATCTCGCGCAGTCTTTGGATGAGTAGATTTTGGCACCAAAGTCACCACTGTATTGTTCACAGCTCTTAGCATTTTGCATCTTTGGAAGAATTCCTGGACAGCATCACATACATCCTCTCTAACAATAGGCCAAGCTTTTTTAAAAAATAGAGCATTAAACCCATCAATCCCTGGGGCCTTGTTATCATCAATATTAAAGAGAGCAGCTTTGATTTCCTCTTGAGTTATCTCCGAACACATATCCCTTTGTTGTTGCATGGTAAGACTAGGTCCCTGTCGCATAATATTCAAGTCAATACAAGGCACTCTGTTAGCAGTAGATCCTAGGAGCCCTTTGTAGAACTGAAGGATTTCATCCTTAATATCATCATGCTTCTGCAATACTCTACCATCACCTCCCTTTAATACAGATATATTGTTTGAACTAGCCCTAGCCTTCATACAAGCAAAAAAATATCTGTTATTCCCATCCCCAGCATTTATCCAGTGTGCCTTAGCTTTTTGCTTTAGAATTTTTTCCTGTATGTCCGACCACTTATTTAGCTCATCCAATGCTTCCTTCTCCTTTTCCATCAAGCCAATATCTGTATGCAAAGTATGTAAAGTCTGGATATTCTGCAGATTATCTCTAGATTCATTTACCCTTTTGTCAATACTACCTACCTCCCTGCACATAAGATCCTTCAACGGGTCTTTGCACAATTTTAATTTAGACCAGACCCTAAACATGCATGTCCCCTAGACGTCTTGTTCCCAAATGCTAACTATTAGTTGCAGGAATTTATCATTGTCAGCTATCACATTGATGAATCTGAAAGGTCTCCTCATAAAGCTGTTAACATTAGTATGCTCAATGTGGATAGGGGTATGATCTGAAAAAAATTCTCCCTAAACTGAGCTGTTAGATTACCAAATTCCATGATCCAAGGAGCATTACATAAAGCTCTGTCAATTCTGCTCCATACATGCCTATTTGTCCAAGTATAAAATCTTCCAGAAGCTTTCATATCTGTCAAGTTGAGAGAGTTTAAGACTTTTTGAAATTCTCTTGTTTCGTATTCTGTGACTGGTTGCCCACCTGTTTTGTCTGTAGTGTGTAAGGGAGTATTAAAATCACCACAGATGCACCATGGTTCATTTATAACACTTCCAACCCTCAAAAGTCCAGCCCATAGGTCTCTTCTTTCCGCTATAGTATTCTTTCCATATATCACTGTCATTACACATTTAAAATTAGACTTTCTATCAACAACTTTACAATGAATATATTCTCCATGTATGTCCAATATCGAAACATTAACAGCAGCATCATGCCATATTAGCCATATTCTACCATTTACAGCATGTGCATAGTTATGAGCAAACTTCCATCCTTTAGCAATTTTGGCTAGGCTATTAGTAAACTTAGCTGCCTTCACTCGAGTTACAAGTATCCCTGCTAGTTTTATTCTATGCTTCTTCAAATAGTTTCCCATCTCCCTCTGCTTGAAGGGCTTATTCATGCCCCTCACATTTCATATAAGCGAATTCATTATAAAAGTTGTTCATTCCTCCTATATGGAGGTTTACCTTCTTCATCAACACACAAAATTCCTTTAGACAGAGGAGAGAAAACATTACTAGTTCTCACAGGAGCCCCCAGTTGTAAGTGACTTGTTCCTTGCTGAACGAGAGCTGAATATGACATAGTGACCGGCCTCTGTACCTGAGAGAAAGAACCAATATTAACTATCTTTCCTGCTTAATCTGTTTGAGGGGTCACAACAACAATCCCTTTCCCAGGAGATTGCTTCCTCTCACTCTGATCGTCCTTTTGTAATTGATTCTCAGGCCTCATCTTTTGTACCGAAACATTTATAGGTTCCTTATTCTGTGGAGGCTTGCTAACCCATTGCATATTCAAGTCCTTTCGTGCTCCCCTTTGCCCCCCTTTGTCTATCTGCCCTTTCCTTGGTTGCTCTTGATGTACTTGGCCATGTCTCGGCTGTTGATTCACCTTTCTATTGTCTGTTTTACACTCATGCCCATACATGACACAAGCTTTGCAAAACACAGGTTTCCAGTCATAAGCGACTTCTTGTGCAAATGTCCGTCCAGATGGATCAACTATTTCAATTTCCATCGGCAATTCATGTGTCACATCCATGTCGACTAACACTCTAGCATACAACACTCTGATCTACTTTCTGGTACATTCATCCGCAAACAGAGGGTTTCCAAGTCGGCTAGCAATTTTGCTTAAGAGTTACCGAGCTCCAGCAGTTTAATGGTAAATTAGGAAATCTAATCCATAAGGGCATAGTTCTAGGAAATTCCTATTTGAAATCAAAATCTGATGACCAAACCTTTAGAATCATTGGCATACTATTAACAGTATATGGCTCTGAGTATAGGATCTCATCCCTGTCATGGATGTTTTTGAATTTAACAATATAAAATCCATCATCATGCAGATATATATCAGGGGTTGCCACTGAATTCCAATTACGAGCAATATAACTACTCATATAAGAAAAATTTGGGGTTTCACCAATCACATAAAGCACCAGTGCATTCCTCCATTCCTCAGTTTGCTTCACAATTTCAGAATGCTCCAATGTTACTATAGGTCTACCATCAATTACTGTTGGGGGGAATAAAATACAAAGGCATACCATTAGCCGCTATTCGATTTTGAGAAAACAAACCAGACCATGTCTTGGGTTGATTCGCCTTCTCCCCATCCTCCTTCATCAGTTGAATTTGACTCACTTCACCTTTAGATTGAGTTGCAGCTTGAATTTCAGGTGTATGTTGCAATTGAACTTCTGCTATTACCTCTGGTCTATCTGATTTTGATCCAGATGCCTCACCCATCTGAGGGCTTGCAGATACTAGACTATTCTCACTCGTCATCACTTATGATAGCGGGGTATTCAAATTAGCATCAATTCCAGATCCACTTTTAGTATTGTCCATTGTTGTCGTTGTTCCATTCTCTACATGTTTCTAGTAGAATTGTTAGTGATATTACTAAACTTTTAAATATCTGTTATGTGCCTCAACATCTATGATTGTAATTGGATTTTAGATATGGAAAAATAGGTGTAAAATATAACTACCGTGTTTTCGCTTTTATTGAGCCAAGGGGTTTTTCAAAAACAACTTCTGTATCATATTTATATGAGGGTGGACATCCCTTAGTTAAGCACTTGCAAGTTTGAGAGCTCTATGACAAAATAATACTTGAAGGAAAGATAGTGCGTCAAAAATATTTTCTTTCTTTTTAAAATTAATTGCCCCTTCCTTCTAGTCATTGGAAGGAAGGGACAGGCAAGGGCTGCTCAACAAAAATTGTGGCATAAAGTCAAACTTTATTAAGAGGCCTTAAGCTTTTAAGAAAAACTAAAAAGTCCATGTTTGGTTATTTGTTCCAATTAGCTGAAGGAACAACATCATGGAAGAGTACCAAATAGTCCATCATTGCTACATCCACGATGGAAGCAGAATTTGTGGCGTGTTTTGAAGCCGCAATTCATGCATTATGGCTGCGAAACTTTATTTCAAGACTTGAGGTTGTCGACACCATTATCAAGACGCTGAAAATTTACTGTGATAATTCTGCAACAGCATTCTTCTCTAAGAATTATAAGTACTCCAAATGTGCCAAGCATATGGAATTAAAGTGCTTTGCCGTCAAGGAAGAAGTTCAAAAACAAAGAGTGTCACTTGAGCATATTACAACTGATCTCATGATTGCAGTTCTGTTAACGAAAGGTTTACATCCAAAGATATTTAAAGAACATGTACGTACAATGGGTCTTGGCTGTATTTATGATTGATGTATTTATGATATTTTGATACTCTGGGCTCATTTATGTGTTTTTGATATACATTAATGATTTTTTGTTTCTCATAATGGTGTACACATTATTGTTTTGAGATATTACAGATAAGTCTCAATGAGACATTATTGTGGACCATAATATTTTATAGCTTATGGACCTAGTACGATTAGTTGTTAATGTAGTAGTAGATAGAATAGAGTATGTAGAATTTTTTTTATGTATAGCCGCCATAACTCACATTTAGCAGTTTGTCGTATTATGGTATGTATGATGGTCATATTAACTAATGTTTATAATATTAAATATTAATATTATGTGATTATAGGCCAAGTGGAAGAATGTAAGATTTTTCGTAAAAATTGCATGGGGCACCCTATTTGGGAGCCCCTTTTTAACCTGTAGCCGCTTTGTTTTTCTATTTGCACCTGTACCCATTTTTTTTGTTAAAAGCATTTTAAAAAGATTATTTTGCCCTTCTTTATTAAAAGACTACTTTCTCTCTAAGTATACGCTAGTCCTATACTGTCTCTGTCTCTCTCTCCCGTTATTCGCATTTTTTGATTTGTTCTTCTCTGAAATCAAAAGCTTTTCGTCGTTGTTTTTGATTTTTCAACTGCTAGTCGTCGTTGTTATTGCTCCCCAATAACATTACGATTTAATCACAGGTACATTGCATTAACTTTTTGGGTTTTATTTTAGTATTGATTTACGATTTAATTTCTGGTTTTGGTTTTGATAGTCATGTATTTATGATAAAATAGTTTCTTAGGGTTTAGTTTGATAAGTGCATTAGTTTTTCTTTTACGATTGTGTTTTTAGGTTTTTTGAACGTGTGTTTGTGTTGTTGATGAAAATTCTATAAATTCTTCAGTGACTAGACGTCGAAATTTTTAAAATTCTTGAGAGTTAAATATATGATACTATTAAAGTGTGAAGTTTATAATAGTTCAATAATATCTTAGATAGGAGCTGAAGTTTTGTTTCATGTGTTTGTGCTTTTTTGTTATATTTTTTATGAACTTCAGCATTATTTTTGGATTTGAATTTGTGTTTTGTTTTTTGTAAAAACTACAGCATGTTTTTTTTGCTGAATGTTTTATTTTGTAACTGGTGAACTTGAGCTTTAGGAGATGAAGTTTTTGTTTTTGTAACTGGTAAACTTCAACTCTAGAGCTGAAGTTTTTGTTTTTGTAATTGGTGAAGTTTTTATTTTGTAACTATCGAACTTCAGCTCTAAAGCTGAAGTTTTTGTTTTGTAACTGTGGAACTTCAGCCTTCTTAGAGTTGAAGTTTTAACTGATCTTTTTAATAATGTACTGATGTTATTTTTTGTATATTTTACTTTTTTTGAACAAATGGTACCTAAAGCACCTAAAGATCCTAATGCAGCTAAAGCGCGCAAAGCAGCTAATGCACCTAAAGCACCTAAAACACCTAAACAACTTATAATACCTCCAGGTCCTTATGTCCCTGCTCCTCAGCCTACAAGACCAAGGCAAAGATATTTTGAGTTTCGAGATTGTTTAACTGTAAGGGTTACTGGAAGGGGAACCACGATTTGAAGAGTTTAATTGCAAGTTTCTTGACTCCTACACGACGTGATAAGCTTAATAATGGTACATTTCGATACATTACGGCTATGGAGAATTTCAAATACAGCATGAAGTTGGTTCATTATTTGTATCTTTCTCGAATATTCACCAATGATCGAGACTCCATTAGTTTCAAGATTTTTGGCCATGATGTTTCCTTCACCCTTCAAGATTTTCACATTATGTGTGGTTTGCGGATCACAGCACATAATGTTGAAAACCAATTAATCGAGAGAGCAATATTCTGAAGTGATGTTTTGGTAAGTCTAAGGGTGTGACCTTGAAGGATATTCGAGATTTTATGACTCGGAATGAAATTCCAAAGAATGCTGTGAATCACAGTCATGTATGCGAGAATGATGATGATGTTGTGAAGCTTATGGAAATTCTTGTTGTAGAGTCTATTTTGTTTGGGAAAAAGACTGAGTCATATGTGCTGGAGGAGTATGCAGCTATTGTTGAAGATGATAAAGTTTGTGCTGAGTATCCTTGGGGTAATGTGGCTTTTGAGAAGTTCATTTACTCACTGAAACATGCATTAGACAAGCATAACAAATTTCATTCAACTGAGTATAAAGTTGGTGGATTTTCATATACGTTATGTGCTTGGTTCTATGAGCGCTTCCCAGATATTCGGGAGAAGTATATAAGAGAGGATGAGTACCTTAATACCCCTAGGTTCCCAGGATGTTATGTTATGTATGTGTGGGAGAGCCTAAATATAACGAATTTTTTGATTTCTTCAGTAGTCATGATGTAAGTTAATTTTTTTTGTCTTTGTGTTTATATGTTGACGTATTAGTTTTTTTCCCCTCATAATATACTTTTTTGTATTAAACAGAATTATCGCAACTTTAGGGTATTGGATATAATTCTTACAGAAGAGGAATTGAATTAAATGCCTTTAATTGGATAATTACCATGCAGCCGGATTCGTTCAAAGATACTTAATGCGGCTCCTTCAACTGGTGAATCACCACGTAGTCTGAGCCGATCAAAACAAGCGAATCGAACTCCTGTTATTGGCCAATCACCACGTAGTCGGAGTCGATCAAAAGAAGCGAATCGAACTCATTTTATTGG